TTTTGAACCTCGATTTTCGAGAGATTTAGGTTCTCTTTTGAGACTTTGACTTAGTCTAAACAAGTGTACATTCTTTCTTGGTTAATGCATGGTTGTGAGTGAAAAGTACTCGTTATTTGTTCAGGCGCTCAAGGGGATCTTCAAGAGAATCTCAGAGCGGACGCCTAAAAGCTTACTTGCTCACTTTTGACTTGGTGAGTGTCAAGTGCATGATTTGTTGTGGAATATGTGAATTGCTTCTTGTGAATTATGTGAATTCGAATTGTCGAGACGAGTGTGTACTTTGTCGCACTCATTCTCTTTTCAATGAAATTATGATTTAATTTTACTATGTAAATTGATATTCGACTCGTGTGAATTGATATTCGACTCGCGTGATATGATGTGATTGTGAATTGTATTTGTGATCGTCGATTGGAGCATTGTCTCATCGACTTATATTCGTATTCGGGGGACGCCCAAACTCGTTGGCTAACTCTGCGAATCGAGCCAGCATGGGCTTGGTCGAGGAGTTTAGTAAACCATAAGCAAACACGAAACTTGATCTATTGGACAGACCTTGCTTGGCATACTCGTATAGTATTGCCACGATATACTTGAGAAATATCAAAATCTTGATGAGCAGACCCAGTAAGGGGGTGTAACGGTGATGGAATTTGTGGAAAGTGGTATTTCTACGAATTTGATACTTATGTGGTTGACGGATTGTCAACATGAAATTGATCAAGACCTTGACTCGGCTACGTGAAAATTAGCTCCTGAGAGCTACAGTATCCTTGAATTGTTTCTGTTTACTTTTCCTACTTGAAATGCTAATTTCTCAAATTTTACAGTTTTACGTGCTGTATAAATGTTGTTGCTACTTGGACTACGTGTTTGCATGTATGTTTCTTGGCCTCACGAGCATTCGCTCACCCATTAGTCTTGTTTTCCTTAACAGGAGCTGAAATGGAAGGAATTATGGAGAAGCCAACTTGATGGACTTTTGATTAGAATTTTGAATTTAATTGTTTAGACAATTTTTGGAGGTTGTATATTTTGGAAATGTTGATGTACTTCTGGTATCTTGTGATGTAAGATTTGATGTTATTAAGGAAGCGACCTTTCTTGATATTTTCGACTTCTAGTATCGATTGATTATCCATAAGTTGAATTCGTCTCGTAGTGAGTCCTGCCGAGAGCTGAGCCGGCGTCCCGCCGATTCCCTTGGATTCGCCTTAGGGAGAGGTGAGGGCGTCACAACAAATATTGAATAGATTCACATGGTGAAATCAAATAGATATATATGGGTTTAAAACAAAATTGTTAGATTGAAACCCATTTATATATCTATTGAATAGCATGTGTATAACTACAATTAGTCTGTTTAGATGAAATCAAATAGAGATATATTATATACTATTCGTACTATTTAGGTGAAATCAAATAGATATATAGGACATGGAAAACTAACCTTTTCTTGAATGAATTCAGCCTGATTTCTAGATTGGAGTAGCCTCTTTTTGCTTGGTCGAATCTTCATTTTTCGCTAGGCTTTCACCGTAACTTGCCCTACAAGGGTCGCCGGGGACAGGAAGGGCGCCAGTGCCCTCCAAGTCCTTCGCTGACATCCTCCACCACCATCCCAAGCCTACGCCACCTGCCCACCTCCTTCGAACCCCTACTTCAGACCACCCCTCTATCGTGCGAGAGCAACCTTGTACAAGGGCAGGCCCGCTGTTTTCTTTACTGCTGAAGACGTCGGAACCTTGTCAACTCCCTTCCGGTTTGCTCTCGTTGGGAAATTTTCAAAAGGTCGCCCTAATCTGGAGGCCTTGCGGAAGGATTTTCATACGATTGGATTCAAGGGGGAGTTCACCATTAGCCTTTTGGACCCCCGCCACATCCTAATACGGTTTGACCAGGAGGAACACTACCTCCGCTGCTGGCTGTGTGGAGTATGAAACTTCCAAGGTTTTCCCATGCGCACATTCAAGTGGACGCCTTCTTTTACAGTAGATTCTGAATCACCACTAGTCCCAGTATGGATTTCTCTCCCTTATCTCCCAATCCACCTCTTTGCCAAAGGGCCGCTTTTCTCCATTGCCCGGCTCCTTGGAGAGCCCCTCAAAATCGATGCCTCAATAGCATCATTGTCCAGACTCGGAGTGGCCCGCTGCTGCGTCGAAGTGAACGTCCTCAGTGACCTCCCAGACAAGGTCTGGATAGGGACTGGAAGCTCTAGCTTTTGGCAACTGGTCCAGTATGAAAACCTCCCAGAATTCTGTAATTTCTGCCTTAGGCTAGGCCACGCCGAGACGAGATGCCACCATCATCCAGCAAACTCAGACAAAAGAACTCGCCCCACTCTGACCGAGGTGCGGAAGCCAGAACAACACTGGATCCCTAAGTACGAACGCTGGAGAGCTGCCGAGTATATCCGGACTCTCGACTCGTGACAAGGAACTCGATCAGCAACCACAACATCCCCAGATGTGGGTCACCGTGCGTGACGGCCAGGCACGAAGACTGCAAAGCCCTAACCCCTAGGGACAAGCAGAGGAGACTGGTACGGTGTTGCCACAAGAGGCTAGCCTAGCCATCTCGAAATCCAACAATTTGGTTGCCCATATTCTAGACGACCAGTGCGTGCTACCTAAACGCAGAAGGCCCACCCCAAACTCTCTTTCTGACACGGAGGACTTACCACAGGATAAACCCAGGGAGCTTGTGTTAGAGGATTTTGTTTTGCTAAAACAGAAAATTGACCACCTCTTCCCCATCATGAGCTTGGAGGCAGCAGTGAAACGGGGACAGAAACGGCGTTTCTTAAACTTACCAAAGACAGTGGTAACCAGGCAATCATCAAAGACGGCTTCCGCTCACGCCCCCATGCTGCAGTCTGATAATTAATGCGCTTATATGGAATATTCGGGGGGTGACTGGCCGTGCTATGACTAGGCGCCTGAGGAAACTTTTACGCTTCCATGCTATCACCTTCTTAGTTGTTTTTGAGCTGATGGTTGACCCATTTTAGCTTGACACTTTCAAAAATAGATTTGGTTTTTACCTTGCGGTCTGCAATGCTTCCAATAAAATCTGGGTTTTATGGAAAGCTGATTTTGCTGTCAATGTCCTCCTCAGTGAGGACCAGCTTATTCACTTAGCAATCACTCATGCAACATGGACGGGGGAGGTCTTTTGCTCCTTTGCTTACGCTAGCTATTCCTAGGTTGGTAGGCAACATCTCTGGTCTAGCTTGTTTTCGCTGTCAGGGACGCTAACCTCCAAACCGTGGCTGGTCGGAGGCGATTTCAACACAATTGCAGACATAGAAGAATACTTGGGCCATGCGCCTCAGAATTTGACAGCTATAAATGAGTTCGCTGAATGTGTCTCAGACTGCGGGTTGAAAACTATGATGGCATTGGGGAATCGTTTCACCTGGACTGGTATTCGTCAAGGCCGTCGCGTCTGGAAGCGCTTGGATCGTGTGTTGATGAATGCGGTTTGGCAACAACATTTTTTTGGTTCGATGTTGCAACATCTTAACAGAGCGGGCTCGGACCACAGCCCCTTGCTAGTGCAGTTTGCTGAAGGGAGTAGACCTGGACACGGTTCCTTCAGGTTTCAGCATATGTGGTTAAAACACCTGGGGTTCCTGGATTTTGTTCACCAGACTTGGATGCAGCCGGTGGAAGGATACAGAATGTTCCGCTTTGTGCAAAAGCTGAAGCGGCTGTGAAAGGAGCCGGCATATGGAATAAGAGGTTTTTTAGGAACATCTTTGACAAGACCTTGGAGGCGGAGGAAGGGGTCAGACAAGCGGAGCTATGTCTAGAGGACAGTGACACGGAGGAGACGAGGTTGTAATGGGCTTAGGCCACGGCTGCCTTGAACAGGTGCCTTGCCACTGAGGACATCTGTTGGAGACAGAAAAGTCGTATTAAATGGTTACGCGAGGGTGACTCTAACACCCAGTTCTTTCACTCGAAGGTGCTGGACAAGAAAGCTAAGCTCTCCATTCACCAAATTAAAGGTGCGCATGGTACTGTACTAACGGAGGAGAGTGTGATCGGAGAAGAAGCCTGCACTTTTTTCCGCGATCTCTTGTCAGCTCCGGCAGCTGGGGATGAGCACGCAATGCAGACCTTACTGGGGCACATTCCCGCTTTGATACCCCAAACAGAAAATGACTGCCTAGTCCAGGAGCTTTCTTTTGACGAGATGAAACAAGCGATTTTCCAGTTAGATGGCCAAAGCACGGCAGGAGCTGATGGCTTCACGGGACTTTTCTTCACTCATTGTTGGGAGATTATTAGGTAAGATGTTTATCAAGCAGCAAAGGAGTTTATGTGTGACGTCCCTATACCGAGAAGCATCGCGAGCACCCTCATTATGCTTCTTCCAAAGGTTGAAGCTCCGCAAACTTTCTCTGACTTTCGGCCCATTAGCTTATACACCTTCATCAACAAAGTCTTCACCAAAATACTTAGCAATCGACTCAAATCAGTCATGCCTTTAGTTATCTCCCCGAAGCAATCGGGGTTTGTCCAGGGCAGGGAGATCTCTGACAATATTTTGATAGACCACGATATGGTCTCGGAACTAGACAGAAGAACTCGCAGCCACAACATAATCTTCAAACTGGACATGATGAAGGCTTTTGACCGTGTGTCCTGGGAATTTCTATCCCGTCTCCTCCTCCGCTTTGGGTTTCACCCTCATATCGTGGCTTTTGTGCTTAACAACCTGAGGTCCTCTTGGTTCTCCGTGCTCATTAACGGGAAACCTCATGGATTTTTCCAAGCAAGCCGTGGCGTAAAGCAGGGGGATCCCCTATCACCTATTCTATTCATTTTGGTATCGAAAGCGCTAAGCCGTGGGCTCAGCTCCCTGCTCTCGTTGGAGAAGCTCAAGGCCTATGCGCAATCACGGGGCACTGTGACGATCTCCCACCTAACTTTTGCGGATGATATAGTCATTTTCACCAGGGGGATTGCCAATCAGTGCGATGCTTAATGGATTTCTTAGAGGTCTACCAATGCGGCTCAGGGCAGGGGATTAACACAGCCAAGAGTTTCATCATTCCTTCGGCTCGATGTTTCGCAGCGCAGAAACATTTAATAAGATTAACGGGCTTCCGTCAGCAACAGCTTCCGTTCACGTACCTTGGTTGTTGTCTTTACAAAGGTAGGGCAAAAAAGGAGTACTACCAACCCTTGATTAGCAGAATGCAGCGCAAGTTTGCGGGTTGGAAGAACAGGATGCTTTCTGCTGGGGGCCGCTTAATCTTGATCAAACACGTTCTGCCCGCAATACCTCAATACACTTTCGCAGTTCAGGAGCCCCCAAAAACCGTCCTATACCAAATTAGACAGATTATGGCCCGATTGTTTTGGGGGGAAGTAGAGAAGCGTGAGAAACGACACTGGAGAAACTGGAATGCACTTTGTCATCCCACTTTACAAAATGGCCTAGGGCTTCAGAGGCTTGAAGATGTTCTATATGCTTTTGGGTGCAAGCTGTGGTGGAGACAGCGCATGAGCATGTGACGGAAGCACCGGTAAGGCCTTCAAGCTCGCGGGTCTGGAAACGTCTGGTGGGCGTCCGAGCTTTCATGGAGGATCACATGCAGACTCTGGTTCACGACGGTAGTGCATCCTTCTGATTTGACAACTGGTTGGGCACAGGTCCGCTTGCCCACGGCAAACAAGCTCTTCTTCTACCCACCATCAGAATTGCCGAGCTGGTAGCGGAGGGGGTATGGTGTTTGGATCGGGTTGGAGAGTTCCTCACCAGGGAAGAAAGGCAACGCATCCTAGCCTTCATGATTCCCCCCTTGCAAAGCACGGACCGCGTGGTCTGGCAGCCCTCCACAGCAGGCACTTTCACGATTTCTTCGGCGTTAGAATGGATTCGGCCTCTTTCCAACCCCTAATATCTCGCAAACTCATTTGGAATCAACGTATTCCGATCAAGATCTCCATCTTCATGTGGTGCCTGCTTAATAACCTACTTCTGTTTCCAGATATCCCTAGATAGTTTGGCCTCCACCTACCGTCCAAATGTCCTTTCTGCCCCAGTGAAGACTATCTGACCCATTGCCTAATCACCTGCCACGCATCGAGCCAAGCCTGGGGCTGGTTTGAACAAGGCCTCCGTCTGCACGTCGATGCCTCAGACACGCTTCTGCTTAAGCTGCAGGGTTGGTGGATGCACTCCTTTGGGAAGATGCTCTTAGCCACTCTCGCCAACCTATTGCCTGTGCTCATTTGTTGGGAGCTGTGGAAGGCTCGAAACAAGGCAGTGTTTGAGGATATCGCGCTTTCGCCAGCTCACGTCCGCCATCAGGTTGTAGCGTTATTGAATAGCATTGGAGAAGCTTACCCCTTACCTTATTCAGCTCCTCAGGATTCCACTTTCCGGCACCTGGGGTTGAAACCGCCAGTAGCACCACCGCGGCGTCGAGCATGCGTTTCACTCTCCTGGTCATTGCTGCCTCTCCCTTACGCAAAACTGAATGTGGATGGATCCTTACTTGGCAACCCGGGCTTCTCAGGGGGAGGAGGGATTATACGTGACCACACTGGTCGGGTCCTACAGGCTTTCTCCACCTTCTATGGGCCACGTACCAACATGGAATCGGAGGCCATGGCTCTCTTGGAGGGACTCCGGCTGTGCATCTCTCTGGGGTTACCAAAACTGATAGTGCAGATGGACTCCAAACAATTGCTTAATATGGTGCAACAAACTTCAGCAGTGCCTTGGCAGCTCGGCACCATCATCAGGCAAATCCGCCAAGTTCTATCCTCTGCAAATTGCATTGTGGAGCATTGCTACAGGAAGGTTAACTCAGCAGCAGACATCCTGGCGAAAGGAGCAGCCTCGAGCCGCAAATCAGCCACTTATGACGCAACTAGTTTGCCATCACAGGTGAAAGGCATCTCGGCCTTGGATACTCAGCAGTTTCCATATTTTCGTCTAATGCGTGTAAGGGAGTAGTACTCCTTGTTTTTCGCTTAAAAATAATGTGTACCCTTTCTGCTAAGAAATAATAAAAATTTATTAAAAAAATAGATATATATATGAATTTTAAAAAAAAATTATTCGTATACATGGTCAATGAGGGATGAAAAAATTCATTTTGTGAAATGTAAGGGAGGAAACAATTTATTTTGTGAAATATAAGGGATTGTAGATTGGATTATGTAAAATTTGATTTGACAATTTTACCCCTAAAAATGATCATATGCAGGGCACGTGATGAATTCCAGTCAAAAACTAGTCGAAAATATAGGTAGGGACCAAATTTGACCAATGTGAATTTGTAAGGGACGTAAAATTACACTTTTAAAGTGAGGGACAAAAAAAGTCATTTTACAAAATGCGAGGGACGTTTTGAACGATTTTTCCTAAAATAAACATGTCTGCCATGATATGTAATAACTTAATATGAAAAAATAATTATAAATTTTTTGAAATAAACACACACTGTAGACACCAAATTTTTAGTGTATTTTTATTTACTATTATTTTATTTGTCATGTTAGTTTTATTTGCTTTTAGTCTTTTATTTTTGTTTTAAGTCATTTTAGCATAGAATTTTTTGAAAAAAGAAAGAAAGAAAAGAAGAAAAATTATTAGCATTTTGTTGTTATCTTTTATTCATAGTTTTGTTCATTTTATCTGAATTTATTTTAAATTGTTATTTTTCTTTATTTATTTAGTTCATTGTAAAAAAAAAAAAAAAAAAAGGGAAACCCGATAGCGGGTTTTAGGCTGATTAAGAGGTTCTGAAAAAAAAAAAAAAAGAGAGCCCATGCACACGAGAAGCCTACAATCAAAACTCCTCTACATTTTCATCTACAAAAACCGCAGATACAAAAATGGTTTTCTCTTCCGTTATTGGCTCAATTTTCTCTTCCGTCCGATGATGTTAATAGAAGACACTTGGCTTGATTCAAAGTTGATCAAAAAACATGAAAATCTAAGGCTGTAAAAATGCAAGAGGAGAGGGAGTTTTTTCGGGCCGTAGATGCTAGGTTTCAGAAGGAAGTCTCGGATATAAAAAGCTGTGGAAAGCTAAGGTTTCAGGGGACGGCGGATGAAAGAAAAGATAACGGCAGAGAACTAAGAGAGCAAGGTAGAGAGACCGAGAGAGTGAGAAGAAGGGGAGTTTTGACGGCTAAGCAAAAAGGGTCTGAGAGCTGGGGAGGAGCAAAAGAAAGGGTCTTGAGGGCTGAGATAAGGGCAGAGAACTAAGAGCATGAGAGAGTGAGAGAAGACTGAGAGAGTTGAGAAAAGAAAACAGGGCGGCAGGAAGTGAGGTTTTTCGACGGCTAGGTAAGAAAGAAACCAGGAAGGGGTTGGCGGCTGGGCTAAGAAGAAAGAGACCAAAGAGAGGGTGATGGCTGAACAAACCAGAGGAGAGGAAGAGCTTCAGGCGAAGGAAAGGGAAGGGAGAGCCCGAGCACCAAATTTGCAGCTTCGAACCTCTACAGTGGAAGCAATCTTTTCATCCACTCTGTGTTCCTGCTTCCACCAGAAGTTAAAGGTAATCTCTTGTATCCTTAGTTGCTCATACATCATCAGAGTTGACACACAAAACGCAGAAAATTTGGCTGCTGGTATGATGAACATGTCTTGAAACTCAGCGATGAACATGTATCAGTTTCCTGGGATGCTGTTTTTTCGTGTTTGTACAATATTGATGCTGGGTTTGGTGTTAAGTGGAATAAGCTACAGGCTGTCTTTAGTTTGTTTGAAGCCTGGGTTGCATAATCTTCTCATTTGATAATGGAATCCGAAACTAGTGAAAATTTTTCCGAATGAACTTGATTTACGGCTTAGACTTGTGTTTGAAATGGAGATCTGGGTATATATGTGAATTGGGATGATAAATCAATGAGTTTTTATTAGAATCTTGTACGAAATATTTGGCGTGGGATGAGCTGCAAAGTTTGCAGCAGAAATCTGAATCTCCTGGCCCCCTTTTGTCTTGTTTTCTTATGTCCGCATGCTTGATTCTTGTGTGTAATGATGGTCTTATGAATGTTGGGTTTCAAAGCAGTGCTCAAAGTCTTTGCAAAACCGTCTGTGGTGGCTAACAGGCTGCCAAGTTGTAGAACCCGGAAACCAGAAAAAATAAGATAGCAAAGCTTCTACCATGATGCATTTCTTTTGTGTTTCTCGTTTTCTTGGACCTGGGCCATCTCGGTTGGGGTACTTTGGGGGGAAGGCAGCCATGCTTGATCAGTGATAGACGGATGTTTGAAGATATGTGTGAGTTTGGTGGATAACTGGTGGGTCTAATACAATGTTTTCGGCATTTAATCCACGCGAGCTTGAAGCTGCAAAAAATTCGCAGCAAAGTAAAAAGCTGTTGCATTTTTCTATGCTGTTTTTCTTCTTCGTGGCCGCTCATTGAGCTTTTACACTTAAGTTGCATGCTTAATCTGGTGTTGAAGGGAAGAAATGGAAGGTTTGGTATTAAGTTTGCATGCTTGAGTCCTTAAAACATTTGAATCATGTTCCATTACTTTGCTGAAAAATGAACAACCAAATTGCCGAACCATTCTTGTATATTTTTCCAGAATTTTTGCATGATCTCTTTCCAAGTTGTCTGCTTGTTTCGATGGTGTTGATTATGTAGTTTGCTTAGCCTAAAGTTGTAGGGTTGGTTTTGGAAAATATCCAATCCAAGTTGTGATCAAGAAATCTGCATTTGGAGACGGAAAGTGCAGCAAGTTTTTTCTTTTGTGGTTGCAGCCACTTCATCCGTGGTCTTGCATGATTCAGATTCAATGTTTGCATGATTTCTTCCTATGTCTTTGCTTGTTTGAATGTCAAATTTATATCTTGTTGTTTAGTTTAAAGTTTGAATGTCAGATCAAGAAAACTTCGATTAAAGTATGCGTTTGAGTCTGAATTTGGTGTTTGAAAGTAGAAAATGCAGCAGTTTGGTTTGTTTTGTTGCAGAAGCTTCTTGCCTTCTTTTGTTACATGAAACTTGCATGAAAGTATTCCAAGAATCCCATTGCTATTAAGTTGTAGCCATGTTTGATTGGAGAGGAATCAGAATGCTGCATGAATTTTGTTTACCGAAATTTGCTTGGAGTTGCGGAAGCTTGCGTATGATAACCATAGCAGAAATGGCCGAAAGAAATGGTTTCAGTTGTTTTGGCCGAAAAGCTGTGGACTGCATGCATGCAAATGTTTTCGAAAAGTTGCATTTTGGCCCCTCAAATCTCTCTTTGTTTCACCATGACCCAACTAATTGAATATTTTCATCAACTTGATCCTTCGCAGCTTTGGTTTTTGCAACTTCATTGCTTATTTGCTTTAATTAATTACCAAATTTTGTTTAATTGCACTTAATTCATGATTTTAAGAGCTTTATGACCAAGTGAGCTCGTGTTTTGCATATTTTCTTTAACGTTCTCAAATAAATTGGTACCTTGACCTTTTCTTTTATTTTGGAGGATAAATAAGTGATTTCACTCCATTTAGGGCATCAACTCAAGGGAGGTATAACTTCTTTTATCTTTTTTGT